AAATGTTATGCATAAAATCGGATAGTACTTCATTTATTACTTGATACTGAGTTGCATGCAAGATAAAGAGATGATGAGAAAAGTTTATATGTCAAGGCACATGCAAGGATTTTGATTATACATGCATTTGCATGTGTGTTACACAGATTTTGGAGGTGTACTTTAGGTTTTTATGTACTGGAAATCCTTTTCATAGTCAAAAAAGTGGAATAGAGTGCCTGTGTCCAAATAACACATCTGAGATACAAATTTACTGATTATCTGTTAAAACGTTCTTATGTTTTGAAAAATCTATTCAAATTCTCACTGCGGTTTCATATTTAAGAGCCAGCTGCTGTCGTTAGAAATAATAAGTATATTTAGAGTGATTTTCAATATGTAACTCAACCCAGCCTCCCAGTTTTCACCTGCAGTTGTTTGTGGGTGTATTGAGGCATCTAACTTTACCTGATTTGTGGGGTAAGCAGGTAAGCACAAATTTTATTAATTGTGCCCACCGTTTATTTGGGTTAGAAAAATCATGTCTCAAAAATCGAATCCTTTATAATGAATGAATAAATATCCTACTGCAGGCCTAAGAAATGTTGGTGGTTCTGTTTTGGTAAAAAATATTTGCCTTTGTGCCACTTGGCAGAACCTGTGGGCATCCATGCCTCATACTGTACTATTTCTTCGTTCCAATAGTGTACTCTGCCATGACCATCTCCACTTCATAATAGATGTCTGATTCAGATTAGGCCACTGAGCCACATTGACTGTGGTATCATATTGTGTGATCAGTAGCATGCTTCTACTGAGTAAAGACTGTTACTGCATACTACTAAGAAAATTGATTTTACATGATAGCTCTAATTTTATTTGGGGTTTTAAATAGACCTCCGAAAAAGATATTTGCAAATTTGGTTCTACCAGTTATTCTTATAAATCTTTTTAAACAAATGGAAGGTTAACTCTGAAATAATAGTTTCAAAAATTGTCAGTTGCATTTGAGGGGAACCATAGGAGATTTGAAGGAAACCCTCTCTTCTTGAAGTGTTAAATCATGATCTCAATCAAAATTGTTCTAAAAGTAGAAAGATGCTCATATATCACGTAGGAGGGCTAAGGATCAAAGTTGATCCAGTAAAATGAAAACCTTAAAAATGTTTTTAATTAAATCTGATTCTGTCATTTAACTGAAAAGAAGACCACCTAAGAGCAGACACCAGGATAACCTTATCAAGGAGGGGGTTAAAAGAGGCCGTGCCTCTGGAATATAGAATGTCGTTACAGTGAATTGTGGTTAAGGTTCTAAATAACATTCTGCTCAACTGATACATGTTATTACTGTTTTATCTTTTAGACTTAGACTTTCAAAACATACCACCTCACAGTGTGTTAAATTGTGCAATCCTTGGACCTTTTAAGATTAATGGGACTATAGGGTCTAGTAAGTGCACAGCAACATAAATAAGGCTTGCACCGTCTAGCCTCCCACTAGCAGTGGAGCAGTTACAAGACATTCTGTTTTATAAAATGACTGTCAGGACGAGGTCCTAGGTAACCAGACCTAGTGGTCAGAGCCGGAGTCCACAGCTGGGAGTCAAGAGTCAGCTGGGTCAAGATACTAGGGATTCAGAGGCAGGAGACAAACCAGAGGTCAGAACCACAAGTCAGAGGTCAGGATCCAAGCCAGGTCAGGACACCAGGATTTTAAGCTGGGGGATCAGGAGTAGGAGGCACACAGTCCAGAGCCGGGGGGAGCTCAGTTGTTCGGACAGTTTCTTGTTCCTCTCTTAAATAGGGCCAACGGGCCAATTGGCTGCTCTGGGACGCCACCAATGGAACATCAGAGGTGGAGCCTCAAGCTGGGCTCCATGGGTCCTGGATTAGGAGTTGTCAGCAGGCTCCCAAGTGGAGAGTTGAAGCATGGCTACTCCTGTGACCCAAGTTTGAGGCCGATGGGTCATGCCAGTGACATCTCTCCCGATTAAAACAGAAATAAAGAAATAAAGTCCAATCCTGCAAGTCTTATTCTTCTGAAGCTTGAACTAGCATTGAGAGTTCAGCACTTGAAAGACTGGCAGAATCCAGCCCATAATGTAAAAAATAAATTTTTTTAAAAGTAAAAAAAAAGCTCACCATTTTATAATGAGACTACTGGCAAAATAGGTGTAAATTTTTTGCCTAAGTCCCTTCATCTAATGCAAAATATACCAGTATATCTGGCAATGAAATTTAAGCGGCTGAGCCTGTTATATATTTAACTATTATGAAATAATAAAATTCCCAGAATTAAGTGATTGGCTTTAATCTGCACATATGGAAAATGAGGACTTTATGTCTTCAGTGTATCGGTTTTTGCAACTTCAGTATACGCTACAGATAATCGTATTGCATGAGCATTACAGACCTGATCCTTGTCCTGGCACAAAAAAAACCTTAAAGCTGCCCTAAGAGTACAGCTAAAGAATCTGAGTGGAATAATAGCCAGGGAAACTGCTATCCTCCTCCCTAACTTCTAGCACATGGAATAGATGAGGGTATTGCAGGAACAGTGCGTGCTGGTGATTCTCTGGCAGTGTGATGTGAGGGCTACACTACAAAGTTTTGTCAGCATAGCTATGTCGATCAGGGGTATGAAAAAACCCACACCCCTTAGCTGACATAGCTATGCCGGCAAAACCCCTAATGTTGACACAGTACTCGCAGAAGAGTACTTCTGTTGGCGTAGCTAACATTCAGGGAGGCAAATCGCTATGCTGGCAGAAAAGTTCCTGTCAGCATACAGTGCATCTACACTGAGGGCACTGCTGCTATAGCTATACTGACAAAATCTTTGTAGTTTAGACAACAGTAACTGTTCACCTACCCTAAGCCTCTGGGAGTGCTGTTACTATCCAGTGCGGATTTGGCCATGTCTACACTGTAAAATTAAGTTGCCCTAACTTACGTTGGCACACAGCCGCCGTAATAATTACATCACTTGTGCGTCTCTACGCTTTGCTCCTTGTGTTGGCAGTGCGCATCCTCACCAGGAGTACTTGTATTAATTGTCCTGTCAGTGTGGGGCATTGTGGGATGGCTCTTGAAAGCCATTAACAGTCAACATAAGCAACACAGTCTCTACGCTAACACTGGGTCAACCTGACTATATCAACCTTGACTCTACACCACTTGTGAAGGTGGAGTTAAGTTGACATAGCAGAACAGTTACATCGGTGGGAACAAAATTTAAGTGTAGACACTTTCATGGTTAGGTTGACGCAAGGCAGCTTAAGTTGACCTAACTCTGTAGTGTAGAACAGACCGTAGAGTAGCCCTGAGGCTTTTTAAAGTTACAGCAGAGTCCAAACCAGCAGCTCTGGGAGTTGAGGTGTGGGCAGAAGGGTTGTAGCAAGCTGGCTGTGACACCTCTCCCAGTGCACCAAGCACTGCTTTAGCCATCTGGCCCTACATGTAATCCACGATTATTTCAATATGTAGCATTATTATATTGCAGAGTCAACACCATGTGGACCAAAATATATGCCGATATCATATAACAATGCTACATATGGAAACAATGATGGGTTACATGTAACAGTAACACAGCACTAACAATAAGGCAGAATACGCTTATATACATGTTTGGTATTGTAAAGTCTTTATCATTGCCCATTTACAACGAAGTATGCACTGGAAAATAAAGAAATTTCTTCAGTACTTACGGATCTGTCCTCCTTGGTAGGAAATTAGACTGTACAAAACAAATCTTCTGCAGTTGCAAAATAGAGCACAACAAATACGGACTGAAGAGGTGAAATAACCATTATGTCAAGCTATTGTTATGAGCAATGTGAATTATATAACCCCAATAAACACATGGGAAAAGGAGTAACTAGACACCATTAAACATGAAGAATGGTATGTGTCAAGTTGTAAATTCTTTATAAGGCTTTATGTGACTCCCTCGAAGGTTAAACAATAGACAAACAATAAACTGAAGCAGTACCACTCCTTATCACACAACAGGGCTCACACATGCCTTTGGATATAATGAATAACAGTGTTTGCCAATATAAAACCAATAAACAGATACTTTTCAGAAATAGAGGATGGGATGACTCAAGACAGAGTTTCTCAAATTTTTTCATAGTTGGACCACAGCTTAATGGTGTATCCTCCTCCATTCATAATTGTATAATATCACTTTGATAACTTTGGCAATTACTAACATTGAAAAGTAATATATGGAAAATATATTTAGCTGTCCTGTAGTGCAGTTTCACAACCAGTAATAACAAGCTCTGTGTGGTAGGGATGGTGTCTTCCTATATCATTAGGGCCATTACGCATTACCGGAATATAAATAGAGAATAATATATTAAATCCGTCTAGCAATCTGACAAACTAAACTCTCATACAGATGTTTTGATCTTTCCTGCTGAAATACTGTCATGACCATACTTTTTTTCTCAAAACATTTTTGCAGTTTAACTCTTCTCTCAAAAAAGTACACATTGGAATTTCATCCTAACTTATTCATCAATTAAAGTTGGCTTTAAGCTTTGAAGCATGAGTTTGTGTCCTACAAACATATTAAGTTCTAACCCTTTTTGAATCCTCTAAGCTTTTGGCATTAATGATGTCTTCTCTCATGGAGCTGCACATATCGATTATGTATTGTGCAAAAACATATTTTCTTTTTATCAGTTTTAATTTTGTGTCAACTTTACTGAAGTCGCTTTGTTCACTTAGTAGGTAGGGTAAACTGCAGCACCCAATTTACCTGCTCTGCACTGTTTATTATTTTGCATACGTCTACTATGTCCCCTCCTATTAATTAATGTCCTCTTTATACTAAACGTTCCCGGTCTGCAGCTTTTTCAGTTGTGTTGTAATTTGCATGTATATATGTTCATATTGAACAATCTAAACATTGTGGCTTTTTAAGATGTCTTTGTGTCCAGCGATTCCACCTGCTTTCAGTTCTCTCAGTTTTTTCCGCAATTGCTAAAGTTCTCACAATTTTTTCACAGACTCACATTTCGAGACTTCCTCCTGGAGCTGTGGCAGGGCAGTCTGTGGCAATCGAAGGAGGAGTCTGTCGGCTGGAGACCCCAGCAAACTGAATAACTAACTTCTCAGCTCAGTACAGAAAATGTGAATGACATTTTGTACAATAAGCTCTTTTGTGTTTTAACAGATGTTGGGAATTTTACTCTCATTTTATACTCTTTATTGCAACCACGTGCACCATAACTTGAGATAAATGCGGCTGTGATTTATACTCATTTTGTGTGAATGGGTGTGTGCATGCTCATTTTTCTCCCAAACAAATCAGAACTCTTCCTAGTTGTGCAGGTGGGTGAAGATAATGTATGATTAATGTTGCATTTAAATCTTCATTGTTTACAGTTTAAAAAAAATGCCCTAAAACTATGGAAAAAAACTAATTTAAAGATGTGGTAGTAACTGTCATTCATGTTCTAAATTAGGAAGTAACGGGCCTCAGAGATAGTTGTGTGGTAATGCAAAAGTGATTGTGGTTTGTACATTTCTTTTAAGTTTAAGTGGATCCAGTGGTGACTTAAACACTGCTTCTTCATCCCCTGTGTGGGGCATTTTTCTTTGACAAAGAATGGTTTCAGTGAAACAATCTAGAGCAAAATTATGGCCAGAATTGTTTTTAAATAGTCTTATAATATAAGTTGTATCTCTCTTCCCAAGCTAAGATGTTACATAGCTTCAAGCTGTATGTATTACAAAAAAGCTATATAAAGATAATGTACCGTAATGCAGTCTTTACTTTGTGTATAATGGAATATTACAATGTAAATAAGAAAACAAAGTTTATGGAAAGATTCAATACTATTCTTTGTTTCTTGTTTAAATATATATTTTAAGAAAAAGGTACAGAAATAAACGAGCACATTACTGAATGCTAAGTATGTGTATTATTGTTGAGAGATCTGATAGTAGCACTCTTCTTGAAAAAGTGACTCCCTCAAAGTTCACTTACAGCATGTTTGTATGTCTATTGTGTCTAATATGTATGAATTATGCATACATTTACTGTAATACTTTTCCCCTACATATTCTAAAAAGCTACATATTCATATAACTATGTAGGCCAAATCTGCCTTGTAAGTATAAACAGTTATCTCTGGACACCGGTTCTGATATTTTAGCAAATCATTTGAGTTCTGAAGATGAGTTCTTACATTTCAAATATCCATTCAGTATTCTTCTTCCTGTTGGCAATGACGGCACCATAAGATTTCTGAAACAACCAACTTTTGTTCAATGTCTTGTAGATAGGCCAAAGAGAAACAACAGTAGTTTATCTTTTTTCTGTTCAAATTTGGTATCAGAAAATAGATACTCCATTTTACCTTTTTCCAGAAGTACAGGATAAGTATGTAGTCTAATAACATATAGTCATGCCTTTTTTTTTTTTTGTATTTTTGTGCCTGCTTATAACAGAAATGCTTGATTCTGATTACATGGTTGCATTGATTATGATATCAATGTTTTATGGAAAAAATTCTTAATAAATTTATTTTTAAAAAACTGGCCTGAATTAATTTTGAAGGTAATGTCACTGCATGCTTAGAGCTGTTTTTCCATTGTGACAAATCTGCAGGCACAGATCTGTAAGGACAAATTCTCTGGTGTAAATTAGTGCAGCTCCACAGAAGTCACTGGAGCTGTGCCAGATTACACCAGCAGAGAATTTGGACCATAATTGGGACAACCAGATAGATTAATCTCTGTGCCTAGCAGTTTAGAATATGCATTTTACCTCCCTGCTTTTTTACGGTCTCTCAGTAGCAGACTACGGTTGCATCAGAATTTTCTATTTTACAGGGTCTGTACCTCAAGTGTCTCACCATTTTTTGGAACCCTTTTTTGTTAACCTGCTATGGAGAATTTGAACCAAATTTCAGATGCTAATTAATATGTTTGTGAAATTATCTCCAACCTGTGTTTTGTATTTGTATGTTGTTTTTTAGGGAATTATAGAAAATCTGACCACTGGAAAAGCTTGATTCTTCCCCACCTCCACCCCTCACACAGTACACATTTACTGCTCCCTGCTGCTGCCTGAGTAGTAACATTGTGACTTGAGAGAGAATCAGCCACTCATCACTCCCTCCTTCAGTTCATTTGCGTACTTGGGGAGAGTCAATAATATCCTGGTTGTCATAGCTATGGCTGCTTTTGACAGCTGATTTCCTCAGACTATTCTAACATATTTCAAAGAACCCCCAACCCTAGGAGAGTGCATCCCATGCCTTCCAATCGGCGGAGTCTCCTTCTGCTCCCTTCCCTCAGACGTATCATCTGGTCCACTCTCCGCATTAGTACCTGTGGAGAGAACATGAAAACGGTTACTTACCTGTATCTGCCCTGCTGGTACATGGACGTTCCCCTTTTTTCTTCTGGAGGTCACATGATGCCAAATTTCTTCACCATCCTTCTGTCCCCGATGTGCAGCCTGCTCTGAATCTTCAGAATCTTGTGCCTGTAGAAGCCTATCCTGACATCCGTCCAGGTAATAATAAGGGCAATGCACTAAGCTCAAAAGGATTTTTATGTTGAGATGTATTGGACCAGATCCTCAGCTGATGTAAATAAATGCAGCTTTTCCAAAGGGGAGCTACGTTGATTTACACAGTTGAGGATCTGGAGACAATGAAGAATGGCAAGATTTTAGGCGGAAAAAAACGACTATTGAGGTTTTTGTAAATACCAGTATTTGAGGTAATGTCCCTCTTACTATGATTTTGGCTCTTAATTGGAGAATTCTCCCCTGTGGGAACTGTTCCTCTGGACTTGATAGGGGTGAATATGCTACTTGGTTATTTCAGATTCTTTTTATTGTGGATTTCATGGAAACAGTTTCAAAATGACCCTTTTTGCCATCTGAAATGTTTTGGTGTCTAGCGGTTTCTATTTGTGTGCAATTAACCCCGCAAACATTTCTTGTTTGAGTTCAATCTTTCTGAAAACAAGCAGGATTTTAAAAATGGTTTGTGAAATAGTTAAATTGGCCCCTTAACTTTTTCCCCCTTCACCCTACCTTCAACTTATGTTTACTACCTTGTGGACCAAAGGAAAGCCCTGACGATTTGAATTCCAGCATATGGGTAGTGCTCCGTTGGTGATTTTGTTGTTGTTAACCAGTTTATTTGAGCATAAGCTTTCGTGAGCTACAGCTCACTTCATCGGATGCTTATGCTCAAATAAATTGGTTAGTCTCTAAGGTGCCACAAGTACTCCTTTTCTTTTTGCGAATACAGACTAACACGGCTGTTACTCTGAAACCTGTTGTTGTTAGTAAGCAACTGAAGTATTTGTTTGCTTTGTAATATAAACCAAATAGCAAATCAAGCAGAAAATGAGTAGCAAGTACTTAAGTATTTTATTTTGGTTACATGCCTATACAATCTGTACATCACTTACCAGTGCGGGTAGACAGACATGCACTAACTCTGCTCAAGCTAGCATGCTAAAAGTAGCAGTGTAGCAGGGAGTAGTGCGGGTGACTGCTTGGGCTAGGAGCCCAAGTATGTATGCAGGAGTCCGGCCTGTTTGTACTCCAGGCTGCTATCCCATTGTGCTACCCCCAGCTACACAGCTATTTTTAGAGCACTAGCTTGAGCGGGGCTAGAGTATCTCTGTCTGTCAGAGCTGGGAAGCACACTCCCAGCTGCACTATTGATGGACCCTGAGAGCAGCACACTGCTGCTGGAAGCCTGGCTTCGTATCCAGCTCTGGCACAGGACACTGAGCAGACCACCTTCCCCCGCTGTTCAGCTCCACTGTGAAGCTGTATGTCTAATGTTCTCCCCCTCCCTCTAGGTGAGAACAAAATGAACTGGCCCAATTGAGTGTGAAGCCATAGCACCGTCACTGGACTAGCAGGACAAATATTAACTCCCAGTGCTGACTGGGGAGTTACTGTCCGCAGACTCAAATGGGGTGCAGAGGTGACCCTGCAAACAATGCTCTTTTCCTGGACAGCTGGGAAAGCATGCCTGAATTTCCATGCTGGAGAAGGCAGGGCTGGAAGGACACTCATTGTGGTCACACTGAAGGCAGTGACAAAATTTGCATTGGGCCTAATCCTGCTACCAATTAAGCCATACTTGGTTTTTATTTTATTTTAGAAGAAAGGAGGATTATCAAGGATAAGTGCTGAAGACAGACATGTACCGCAACAAAGCATGCCACAAAGTCCCCTAATCATGGCTCTGCGCATTAAGTGATATAGACCCAAAAGAAATTATACAATGACAGCAATAGATGGTTAAAATTATTAAAAAAAAAAAAAAAGGCAACCAGATGAAGTGCATGTAAATACAAACTGGAAATTGATTAATATAAATCAGCAAACACACAATTACACTCATCAGGCTGTTTTCTAGTAGACCGGTTGGTGCCATGGTAGCTGCTCTTCTTTCTTAATGAGCCTTTGCTACTAGAAGACTCATTGTCTGGTATGTAGGGGTATCAGATGCATTTACTCACATGTTGCATGTTAATAAACCTATGGGCAGTGCTCCCTATGTGATGTTGTTGTTTGTTAGTGAGCAAGGGAAGTGTATGTGTTCTTTTTAGTATAAACCAAAATTGCAAACCCCAAGCAGAAACTGAGTAGCAAACACCTTAGTTTTTGATTTTGGTTAGGCGTATATATAATATGCGCACCGCCCATGCTTTTTGAACTCTCTGACAGCAGCTACTCTTAATGTTGTAAAACTATCACCATGTCTGCCTCCAAATTTGCACCAGTTTCATTAAAGAGGTGTTTTTAAACAGACTGTAGCAAAACTGGCACAAAACGGTGTGTATGCACTTCTATTTTAATTTAGGAGTGGCTTGTTTGGTTTTAGCTTAAGTCTGCAAGAAATTGACTTAAGCTAAATCAATTCCTTACAGAGTTGATCTAAACTGAAATAAGATACTTGTAAAGAAAAGTAAGTGTCCATATCAAGTTGTGCACCAGTTTAACAAAGTCTTGCTAAACTCATTAAATTATGCTGCTTTCTTGTAAAAACGCTTGTAAAAATATCTTCATTCAAAATGCAGTTTCTATCATCTTTTGCTTCTATCTGCTCATATTTTGATTTCATGCTTAACACATTTTATAAATCCCCTTTTATGAAAAAATAGGTGAAAAATGCTTTGTAGTCTTTAGAATATGCAAAATCAGTTGCATTAATAGTGCTCTAAATGTTCATGTATTTTCTCTTCTCCAAGGTACAGCTGTATTAATCCAAATACTGGGCTGAACAAGCAGTGAATAAGGTGAACTCATCGGGGGGGAGCTATTTTGATGTTAAATAGATTTTTTTTTTCTATTTTGTAAAGAGGAAAAGGAAAATTGTTCTTGAATATAGCAAATATTAGGAGTAATGGCACAGCAGAAAAGGCACAAAAACAGTCCCTACCCTGGAGCCTTACAATGTAAAAGATAAAGAGGAGGCATGTCACACACTAGGAGGCCTGGAAGATGGTGGTAACTAAGGGCTTATCTACACCACGCTTTTAGTGTGTGTAAGGGCTTTTAGTGTGTGTAAATGCTCTTTTTTGGGTGGCTTTTGCCGACAAAATACTTCCAGCCCCATGAGCAGCGTTAGCTTTGTCGGCAGGAGGGCGCTCCAGCCAACAAAGCCACGTTCATGCTGCCCCTTGCATCGGCAAAACTTTTGTCTTTTGCGGGGGGGCTTTTTTAAGTACCTGTCAAGGTTCCTTCCCCACTCTGAACTCTAGGGTACAGATGTGGGGACCTGCATGAAAGACCCCCTAAGCTTTTTCTTACTAGCTTAGGTTAAAAACTTCCTCAAGGTACAAACTTTGCCTTGTCCTTGAACCCTATGCTGCCAAGCGTAACCGCCAAGCGTGTTAAACAAAGAACAGGGAAAGAGCCCACTTGGAG